CATCTACCTCGTACCAACCTCCTCTCCTGCCTCCTCTCCAGCCAGCCCCGAACATGCTCCTTCGCTCCAGCCACAAACTCCTCACCATTCTCCAGGTGCCACGGACTGTCCCTGGGGTCCTCGCTCCTGCTGTTCCTTCCCTCTGTGATGCTGTTCCCGCTCCTCTGTCAGGTGAAGCCTGGTGTGTCTTCAAAAGCCTGGGTCAAATGCCACTTCCTCTGTAAACCTTCCCATGGTTCCCTGCACCTTGAAGGGTTAACTACTCACCATGGATTCTCCCATAACTTTGCCGAAAGCCTCTGATACACAGCACTTATCACGTGCTATTACCTACGTGCCTCTCTTCCCTCACGACTTTTCCTTTCTTTATTCTATAAATGCCTAGAGGAGAAATAAATGTGGACAAGTGTTGCTGAGAAAGCTATTTAGGTGGGGGCTAGGAGAGTTCCCTGCCCCTCCTTAGACGTTTCAAGCTTCTAACAACCTAAAACATTCAACTGAATCAACAATCTCAGCTACCCCATTTGACCAATGTGTGCTGTCCCACAGCAGAGTTCTTGGGGGGGGGGGGGAGCTCTCCTGCTTCGTCTGGCTCCATCCAGCAGACAAAGGCCTCTCCGAATACCAGGCTCTGTTTATTGGACAACTTCTGGGCATTCCACACCATTCCAGGACCCATGGCCCTAGCTTTGGGAATTTTGCAGCTATCCTGACCCCCTCCCAGCTCTCACTTGAATTGCTGGGAAACAGAACCTCAAGGAAGCATGTTTCCACCCGGGAAAGATAAAGGGATCAGCTCTCACGCTCCTACAGTCTCCCCGGTCAGGAAGACACAGACCTATCAGTTAGGAGCTGTGTGATCTTGGTAAATCGCTCAGCCCTTTTGAGCCTCAGTTAATTTATGAAAAATGGGGTTATCAGATACCCGCCTTTTAGGGTTGTTTGTGAAGATTCAAGGAGATACGTGTGAAATTCACCTAAAATAGTCACTGACATGCATTATTCATTCAATGAACAGTTCTTTTCTCCTCTTTTTTCTCTCCTCCCTACCTTCTCTCCCTCTCTCCCTGCTTCCTCCTGGAGCCTACCTTATGAAGAAGTAAATTTATTTTAATATATCAAAGATGGTGTTAGAATTTTATTATTATAAAATACTGACTGGTCCTCAGAGAACCCCTAGGGCTGCCCGCAGACCCCCGGACCTAGTACAGCCCATGCGAGCCTCCTGGACTCAGTACCTATGAATTCCTGGTCAGGCCCTGGGCTGAGCATCTGTCTTCTCAGAACATGGTAATCACAGAGCAAGTATAAATGCTAAAGAAAGAACCAGGCAGGGCAGGGCTGAACCACATGAGTGATGCTATGAAGATTTCAGGGAACCCACGAGAGGACCAGGAGGTGGGCGAGGCAGAAGGACAAGCTGTCTCGCCCTCGCTGGCATTTCGGGCAATTACGCCCTATTAATGGCTGACATCGTAGTTCTGCCCTGCGAGTCTGAGCTGCGCCAGGGCGGCCCGCAGATGTGCTCGGCCCACAAATATGCAGTTGGCAACTCCTGAACTTTCAGTGACTTGACGCCAGCTGATCTGATCGGCAATTACGTTTTATTTTGGGGCCAGGGAGACAGCAGAGAACCAGGAAAATTATAAGACATCAGAGTGCAGTTTTTCTAAGAATATCAACTACAAACTTTTTTAACCGATTGTTGTTTTAATGGTTAGAGGTTTGCAAGGCACTAAAATAAGAAACCTTGGACACCAAAATCAGATTATAGCCAATTTTCCCAAGGAAGTTTCAAGCCTTTGTCCAATGAAAATCTGGGTGTGATCTTTTTTTCTTTTTTTTGGAGGGGAGATGGGGTAATTTCTGCCAAGAGAACTTTGCTGGCGACAGTGACTAAAGCATAGAGATAAATAGATTTGTAGTTTGTCCTGGGTTTGTATCTTTACCCTGCTTCTTACTAGCTGTGTGACCTTGGGCAAGTTGTATAACCTTCTCGGCCTCAGTTCTGCCATACATAAAATGCGGGTGCAATACCTAACTCGGGGCTTATTATGAGCATTTGATAAAATGTTGATAAGCACCTAGGTAAGTATCTGGTCTACAGAACCAGTACATGGTGTAACAAGATAGTATCTTCTTGTCGTAATGTTGTTTCCTTATCATCTGAAATAAACGGTTCCTGTTTTCACCATTATATATCCAACCCAAATAACCAGTCAGTATCAAAAGGGGAAACGGCATCTCCAGGAGCAGTTTGTTTCTAGCAGTTACAAGGGTTGTCATCTGTCTCAGTGATAACACCAATCCAGGCTCAGCGGCTTCAACAGCCAGGCTGGTAGGGAGACACGAGGAAAACTGCAACCAAGCCCGTTCAGGCACAAAGTCTGTAAGTGTCTCCTAGACACACAATGTAACTAACCGCAGCTCGGTCCCTCCCCTCCCCTTAACACCCCAGCCCACAGCAGCCCAAATGATCACCAAGACAGCTTCTCCGAGAAGCGCTATTGACTGAACTTGCGTGGGAATGGAACATAACTGCAGCTTGTAAAGGAAACCAGTCTAAGAAACAACATTCCAGGACAACATCCCAAGGAAACAGGGAGATCTTCCTGCAGGGACATTTTCCTGGTTGCCAGTTAAAGGGGCCAGACAGTTTGCCCACGACATTCTTGATAAAGGGCGGTGACTCACCCACCTAGGCCCTCACAAATGGCTCCCAGAGCTGCCTCTCCAACCCCATCTTCCCGCCCAAGTCGTAGGCTACTGCTAAATGAGCACCTCACCCACCCAGATGGCACTCATAACGCCACTGGAAGGAAGAGGTGACCTCAACCCAGGAAGCTTCTCTCTCATTTGATTGGTTTACAAATGGACCAAGTAGGGTCTCCCTCGCCAGTCAACTCACTCATGTCAACTCTGAGATTACAAGAGGAACCAGATCTGGAAAGCTAACCACACTCGCCCTGCCCGCTCTTTTGTGCCCAGTGCCTCGCACTAAGCTACACATAGTAGGCACTCGTAATAGTGGATGAAGAAGTACATGAGTGAATGAATCCGGAAATGAACAAATTCCATAGGAGGCACCGAGGAAGGCACATCTTCTCAGGCAACCCTGCAAGGCAGGTATTGCTAGTCCCATGTTATGATGAGAGAAAGCCTCCGAGGGGTTAAGTATCTTGCCCACACTCACATAGCTAATAAATGAGGAAACCAGGTCTTGAACCCCATGACTCGAGAGTCAAGGCTTCCAGTATTGAAGGCCTTTCTCATGCCCATGATAATGACGAATCCTGCTCACATAGCCTGTGACACATCAGTTATGTCCTCCTCCCAGCATTCTGGAGAGATGAAAAACTGACCCATCACGTACGCAAGGACTCATCATGTCCTCGAATGAGAGGACTCATCACGTATTCAAGGTTGCACAACCAGTTGGAAGTGAAGCAGGAATCTGGACCTGGACTTTCATTTTTCAATCGCAGCTATTTGGGGGCACCCACTATAGGCCAGGGTGGGGATACAACAGTGAACAGCACAGACACATGGACTTCCTCTCCAGAGGGGCATCTACTTCAGAAATAGGCTCTTCCCATGACACCATATGTTGCCCATAAAATTTCCTCAGGAAAGCAGTGGTGCTTTGGCAGTTTTGGGTTTAAGAGGAAAATGATCGGAGGATGTCAACAAGAAGATGGGAACGGTTTGCATTTCAGTTTGTTTTCAACATGGCTGACCAGAAACCCTATCCATGGTTGAATCCAGGTCTGTTCTTCCTAAGGACAGTATGTGAACCAGCTGGGAGACTTGCCTATTATAAGCAGATTATCTGGGCACCAAACAAAACCCCAATATCAAATTCCCTGCTGAGTCACCAGGTTGCCCAGTAAGAAAGCCTCAGGCCATCTGAGTTTGCAGGTACCTAGCTCATCTGACCCAGTCACACTAGAGCTCCAAAGTGGAGGGGCTGACAGGGGAGTGAATTAACCAGGTTAGGCCACCCACAATGCACAAACACAGGAGTCCATTTTGCGAAAAGGGAGTGCAGTGCAGGTGAGAGATCGGGAAGAGATGTGGGATCCAAAAGTTCTAGGACGCATCCCTTTGCAAGACTTCTGGGAATTCAGCACCTTTGAGGACCAAGCGTTATCTTCCTCTGCCAAGCAACTTGGTCCACAAGATTATTAAATTAAGAATTTGATAGAAAATTAAGAATTTGATAGAAAATAGAACATATATATATTTTTTTGTTTTGTTTTGTTTTGTTTTGGTTTTTTTCCCTTTCTCAACATCTATCGCAGGTCAGCGGATAAACAACTAATTGTTCACTCACCAGTTCTTGGCGTCAAGTGCTATTAATAATTAATGTTCCCACAAAAGGACCAGCCTCGGAGTCTCCACATCAAGACCCTCACACACCATGGCGATCAGGCTCCTTTTTGTGCTCCTAGATTTCCACGGAGGGCACTTTTCCTCTGTTGGAGCTCATTTCGCTCAAAGAGGAACTCTTTTCATAATCAAGTCTGATTGACCATGACAGTCACTTGGCAAAGTCCCCCCACAAAATGGTGCATTAAGGTGGAACTCTTGGAGTATCAGTGGGCTTTGATGATTTGATATGGGCACTGGGTGGCGAGTTCACCCACATGTGAGCCTTCTTTGGGGGTGCCAAAGGGGAGATAGCACAGTCCACCAGCTCTGCAATTTCAGAGTCCCATTGTTGACACCTGCAACTGTGTGGGGCTCAGGTCCCAACACCTGGGCAGGTGTGAAACCTCAGTCCAGTATGACACCAATGCATTTCTCTAATTCTAACCACCTCTCGCTAGAGTTTCAGAGCCATTACATAGAGAAAGGGTGACCAAGAAAGCAACCACTAATGGTAAAACACCAGGCAGTGCAAGGACATTTCAAATCCCCAAAGAACTGAATTTTGGAGATTGTCATTCCCCCCAAAAATACTGATGCATAGAGACAACAAGGACGTGTCAAGGGCTTACCTGAGTCGGGTTGTAGAGTTCCTGCAGGGGGCTTCGAGACCCCTTCCGGCAGCAAATGTCCACACCAAAGGGGTTCCTCCGCATGACTGAGGAAAGAAAGTGAAGGCTCATCAGAAATGAGTAACAAACGTTTGTTGTATGACAAAGGGCAAGGCACAAAGGAGGAAAGAAGAAACAGGTAGGGAAGGGAGAGGAGAGAGCTAACCAGCTAGAGAGCTGACTGGCTCTGGTGGAGCTGTACCGTTATCTAATGGCATTGGCCGTGCATTCTGTCTTCCCCAACATTAGGCATCTCTACACCCAGGACATAAACAATGCTAAAAATTCTTCACAGCAAATTTTTAAGAAAACAAGACAGACATCTAAAACACTGAAACAAAGTTACTAGCAAGGACACTGGGAAGCTTGTTCCAAGAATGAGAGTTCTACCAACCACAGCCTCCTCTCTAAACAATCAGTTATAACTTCTCATTCCTGGTCCCGGGGCAGCTGGTCTCCTGAGAAAGGTGCAGGGCCTTCCCAGGTGGGCTCTCCCACTGGACAAGTCAGGGGCCTGGCTTCCCCCAAACCCTCTTGTAAATTAAGTTATTTTAAATGAAAGTATCTGCTTGGGGCACAAAGGATAAAAGCTTATGGTTCTAGACCAGCGGTTCTCAACCTGTGGGTCGCAACCCCTTTGGGGGTCGAACGACCCTTTCACAGGGGTCGGCTAAGACCATCGGAAAACATAAAGGTATTTACATTACGATTCATAACAGTAGCAAAATTACAGTTATAGAGTAGCAACGAAAATAATTTTATGGTTGGGGGTCACCACAACATGAGGAACTCTATTAAGGGGTCGCGGCATTAGGAAGGCTGAGAACCGCTGTTCTAGACAGACAGAGGTGGCGCTTACAATTAATAACATAGGGGGAATTCGGTGAACTTCTCAAAAACCCAAGAGCATTGAGGACACCGAGACCTATTTTTAAATGGAAAAGGACTCTTTCCTTTTTCATTCTTCTGGTTCTCAAAACACCCTCACTCCACGCAGTCCCTCATAGAGTTTCTAACAGAGTCGCTCACTTGATAATTACTCTATTTCCCCATGTATAAGACGCACCCTTTTTCGAAAATTTTTGGGTCTAAAAACGGTGCATCTTATACAGTGGTTGTAGATTTTTTTTTACTTGTATTTCCCACAAGTGATGAGGAGTTGTATGACTTTTATGATGAATAAAACTTGAGTTCAATAACTTTATGTAATACATTTTTTTCAAATTTCGGGCCCCAAAATTAAGGTGTGTCTTATACATGGGGAAATACGGTATTTCTTGGAGGAAGGAGAGAGGTAGAGAGGGAGGGAGGGGAGAGGTAGAGGAAAGGAAGGAGGAAAGGAAAAAAGGAGGGATGGATGGAAAGAGGGAGGGATGAACTATCGAATGAACACGTGCTTTCTTCCCACATAGGAGGCAGTTTTCCTGGAGAATGACGTACATGGTAGGGGCATGGATCGAGCAAGAAAAGCGGATCCTTTTGCAAGCCTAACGAATTCACCCCCCTGTGTGGTGGCAGCAGAACAGGCAGCAGGGCATTCCCTGGATACAACACCCTGGGTGGGGATCCTGGTTCCACCACATACCAGCTTTGTGACCTTAGGCAAGATACCTAACCTTTCTGTGCCTCTGTTTCCTCATGTGTAAAATGGGGAAGAGAACTCTGTGAATTGGTTGTGAGGGTTAAATGAGTTTACTACTACACGCAGAATGCTCAAACAGGGTGGCAGCAAAAAAGTGTTTCTGATAAATTTCTGAAGGTCATAAACATAATTTATGACAAAAATCACTTCCCCCCTTCCCTGAAATTACCAGACCTCAAACCAGGCTGACCAGAGGAGGATAAACCTGGGCCCTGCTCAGGAGCCAACCTGAGGTCAGAAAGGTAGGGAAAACCATCTCCCCAAGTAGCCGATGACTTCTGGAAGGTCTCTAGGTGAATCCACTCCTTCTCATGCAATTATCCTTTGACTTGGTCACTTTGAGCCACACGGAAACCTGAGAGTAAATCATCTACTCCAGGAAGCTCCGAGCTCCGTTTTTTCTCTCCTCTACCTCCTAGAGCAGGGTCAGCAAACTTTCTCCACCAAGAGCCAGACCGTGTTTTGGCTTTGCACCCTACGGTCTCTGTCGTCACTTCTTAACACGGCCACACAGACAATATAGAAATGCGTGGGCGTGGCTGCGTGCCAATACAATTTCATCTATGGACACCAAAATCTGAATTCTATGTCATTTTCACATGTCAGGAAATACTACTCTTCTTTTGATTTTTTTTTTCCCCAACCATTTCACAAAAACAGGCAATGGGCCGGATTTGACCCACAGGCTGCAGTTTGCTGGACCCTGGCCTAGAGAACGACCCCCAAGCATCCCTGGGTGAGTGGCACGAGCCTCCCCAACACACGCTCCGTGGCCCCGCAGCCCTCTCTGGGCGAGAGGCGATCTGCGGGCAACTGTCCACACATAAAAGCCTTTAGAATTGGATTCGGCGGACCGGGGAAACACTGGCCCTTTGTTCCTCCACGGTTGCCTCGAGAAGAGGGGAAAAATCCACGTTGTGTTTTTCTTTAATTTATTACTTCATTTTTCATTTCCACCAAAAACCAAGTAAACTGTTAAACGCACGCAAGTTGCCCTCAGCGCACAATGACATAGCAACACTTCGGAGGAGAAAAAACAGCCATAAAACTTGTAAAATTATGCCCACGCCATGCAAGATTAAACTCTCCCCATGGCGGCAGACAGGCTCACCAAGACCTGTGGCTGCAGGACCGCCACGGAGAAAACCCTACTATGGAATCCATTAAAAGCCAGCTTTTATGGGGGGCAGTATTATTTAATTGGTTTATTTTTCTAATACAAGGCCTTTAAAATGCTTTGACCGTGTGGGGCCTGCAACACGGGCCCTCAACCAAGGCTGTCTGCCCTCAGTGGCTCCTCCAGCCCCGCCCGTGACTTCATTGGGTGCCATGTGAACCAGCTTTGGCACCCCAGGCCACAAAAGCCAAAGGGGCCTTGTGTGCTTTTTATGGGAAGAATAACAATCCCCCCATTTATGGCGTGCTCACTGTGGGCCAGACACTTGGTGGAGTGTAATCCTTCGCCCAAGGAAGGAAGTACCTGTGTGTTACAGATAACCTCTCTGAGCAGCTCTTAAGGTCAGGAACTTGACCAAGGTCAAGGCCACATGGGTAGACAGTTGCCAAGGCCTGACTACTGGGTTCTTCATATCCGATGACTGCCATAAGGACCTACTGTGTGCCCAGGAGAAAAAGAAAGGGTTGACGATTATCTACTTATGTGCGAGTATATTCACCCTGTGTGTGTCTTAGGAAAAGTGGCATCGGAGGAGGCTGAGCAACCAACACACACAGATGGTAGCAGCTAATGTTTAGAGAGCACTCAGGATGTACCAAGTAGTTCACGCATTTAATCGGCACAGCAGACCTATGGGGTAGGTACCACTACTGTCCCCACTTCACAGATGGAAAGACTGAGGCAAGGTTAGGGAACATGCCTAGGTCTCATGACTAGTAAGAGGTAAAGACAGCGTTCCAACACAGGCAACCCATGCTCTCAGCTACCACGCTGGACCAATGTCAAGTGCCCAGTCCACCGAACATCTCAATAGTTTCCTCCTGGCCTGAAACCTGGTTGGCTGGTGACTTCTAGAATAGGTGATTTAAAGAGTCATCCAGTGTTATAGGATTCATCAAAATGGTGTGATATGATGGCCAACTATCAGCCAGCATTTATGACACTCATTCATTTACTTCTTCGAGAAATTTTTATTAAGCACCTACTATATGCCAGGCATTGGGTATATATAGACCTTTTCCAACTTGCTCATGTTGTCTCTCTGGTGCTTGGCACACAGTAAGTACTCAAAGAGGTTTGTCAATGATCTAGGATTTAAAGCTTCCTTTACGCGCATCGGACAGCTGGTTTCCTGCTATACGATATGAAGGAAACCGCCAGTAACATCAGGCTGCTGTTATTTTTTTCCTTTGAAAATGAAAGGCCTGATGATCAAAAGCCCTGAGAAAGGAATCCCTGAGGACATCTAACGGTGGCCTTCCGCTGTCCACCAACCACGACAGGCTTTCTTTAGCAACAACACTTGTTTTCTCCTTTCTAAATTCAAATCAACGTAATTCAAGACCATTTTGGAAGAATCGAATTGGTTCAATTTACAGTATGATTTCTTGGACCCAGGAACAAGTTCTGTATATTATTCCAGGATACATAAATGAAGCTAAAATTAAAACCAAGCCACTCATGTTTGTTTCCCTGTGCCGAGCACGCTGCTGTTAAGTAGATGCTCCACTCCCAGTTCACTGAGAACAGGTGACAGAAAGTCAGCTCATGACAAAGGAGTGGCGCCCGTCTCATTCCCTCAGTGGCTCCCTGTGGCCCTGCCAGTGCTGCTGGGGCGCAGGGAGCTGCTGGATCACAAGTTCCAGTCTTAAGACATAAAACTGAAACGATGCGGGACCCTGGGTGGGAACTTCGCAGCCTTTGATGCAATTTACAAAACCAAAGACCTTTGCAATCCTCAGGGATTCTAGTCCAACTCTTTCAATATACAGAAGAAACTCAGGAGGGAAAGCGTTTGCCCAGGGTTCCCAGGGTAGCTGGCAGCAGAGCCAGGGCTGGAACTTAGGTTTTACAAAATACAGCAATAGTTAATAATAATTATCATCATCATCATCATCATCATCATCATGAGCACTACCCACTTATTGAGAATGTACCATGTGCCTGAGATGCCTGACACAATGCTAAGTCTTTTTTCTACATGGCTTCATCTAATTCTCATAAAAACCCTATGTTAGAAATAGTGAATAGTAATAATAATAATAATAATAATAATAATAATATCATTTACTCCCATTTTACAGGTAAGGCAATGGAAGCCCAGAGAGGTTAAGTAACTTGCTCCAAATCACACAGCCAGCCAATGGCAGAGCATGCAGCAAATTCAAACCTAGGCCTGTCTGTTTCTAGAACCAGTGAGTGGTCTTCATTACCTTATGCTATCGCTG